ACCTTTTTTCCCCCTCCCTCAGCAGCAATAGAACTAGAAAGGGTGGCTGACAACAGGGGCACAATAATATAATTAATAATAATAATAGCTAAGATTTCTATAGCACTTTAAGGTTTGCAAAGTACTTTATGAATTTTATCTCACTTTATCATCAAAACAACCCTGGGAGGGAGGTGCTATTCTAATTATCCCTATCTTACAGGTGAAGAAACTGAGGCAGTCAAAGCTTAAGTGATTTGCCCAGGGTCCCACAGCTAGACATTATCTTGAGATCATATTTGAACTTGTCTAATGACTCAGGTCCAGCATTCTATCCCCTGCTCCACCTAGTGGCCTCTGCGTGATGAACATTCTTGATCCGCTCACCATGGCTGCCTAGCAACGACAACGTGGATGAGGGAATAAAAAGGGAAAATCATAATTTGAGGATGGAGGGTGTAGTATTGACATCAAAATGGACATGAGTCGTAGTATTTATTTCTCTTTCCCCAGAACTATACAACAAAAACCGCAGGTTTTAAAGGTACATTTCATTAGGGTGTGTGCCCAGTGAACTTTATTTTTTAAAGACATTTATTGAATATTCAATTGTACATCATGTTGGTTTTATTCATCAGACTGAAGCAATGAAAACCCAGTTTATGACAGTGAGGTGACATGGGGGACAGAGCCCTGGACTGGGAGTCAGGAAACTGGGTTTCCATCCCAGCTCTGACATTTACTAGTTGTGTGCGCCGCAACAAGTCATTTAAGCTCTCTGAGCCTCGGTTTCCTCATCTGTAAAATGGAAATAATAATATCTGTACTTCTTACCACAGAGTTGTGAGGTGCAAATGAGGTAATGAACATCTACTGCTTCACTGCTTTGGGACCTTTAAAGTGCCATGCTAAAACTGATTATAAAGCCAAGCCCACCAGCATTCTCATTTCAGCTCCAAAGGTAAGCATAGAAAGCTGAATGAAGCCATCTAAACCTCCACCAAGATTTACAGCAGAGACGGGCAGAGAAGCTTCCAGGCTTGCAGTGTAAGGAGGAATGAGGAAGACATAATAGCAATTCTTAAGACCACAGTCTCCTGACACCATGAAGTACATCCAAAAGGCTTAGTGAGAAAGGTTCTTTGTCTTTGCTAAGGAGAATTGGATATTGAATAACTTAACCTGGATTAAAACTGTACAAGCAGCTTATTATCTGTCCAATTTTCCTGCTGCAGTGGAGGCAACTTCACATTTCTCTTTCTCTAATTAAGTTCATAGAGCTGTTTGTCTAAAAAGTCAGAGGGAAAATACTGAGAAGTTATGGAATGTCGATGTATTGTCCCGCTGACAGCCAACAAGCTCCCATTGGGTCTCTCCATATGCTGCTCTCTGTCTGTGTCAAGGACATCAACACCTTTCACATACTGTTGGTAGGTAAATCATCTTTGCATTCGGAATTCAAAGGTTCTTTTTGCTTGTTATCCAGGTTGGGCTTTTTTTTTTTCACTTGTGCTTGTCCTACTAACCTTGGGCTCCTGGACTGTTTTATGCATTTCTGGGGTGGAAAAAGTCATTATAGCTTCTCATTGGGTTTATTAATCATTATTTGATTTGATGCAAATTTCAGGGTTTTGCTGGAGTAAGTATGGGGGAGCCAAATGGTTTGCCTCCCACTTGGGGAGCCATCTTGCCTGTAAGATTAGTAGCATGTCTTTCAATTTCTCATCCAGTGTCCATACAGATTCTAGGCTCTCTTCTTGAATGGTCTTTCATATATTTCAGCTATTGCCCCCAAGAAGTCAATGGAGAGAATCATGGTGATTCTGTAGCACATAACTAAATGCACACACAAAGAAGAACCAAAGGAAATTGTGGCATGCCAGAAAAGTATCATTAAAAAAGGACAGAGCTCAAGGCTACAGTAAGGAATAACCAATGGCCATTTTAAAGGTGCCATTGATATCTCCTGGTGGCAGGAGAAAGAGATTAAAGTCATAAGAACACTGAGAGGACTCTTCATGGTAAATGTATAGGAAGACGTAAATGAGGGTCACACAAGGTGGGCAGGTGGTGACCTGCATCTTGGAGGAAGGAAGGGCCTACATCAATGAACTCACAGATCTTTGTCAGCAGCTGAGTAAAATACTATCTTTATAACACAACTTTTCTTCTGGAATGGGACAGTGGAAAGAATCCCAACTCTGGAGTCAGAAGACATGAGCTCAAATTCTATTATCTACTATTGTGTGGCCATGGATAAGTCATTTAACCTCCATGGTCCTTAATTTCCTTTATCTGTACAATGAGGAGCGTGACTAGATGGTCTCTAAGAAAGTTCCTTCTAGCTCTGTGACCCTGGAATTGAATTCAACTGCTATGATGATAGTAAGGATGTCAATACTGCTCTGAAATAATGCCCCCCACCACCAAATCATTATTTTATTACCATGCAAACAAAAATGGAAAAGTTCCCCAGCCTTTGCCACTTTTGGATAGCACCTGAATTTCCTTCTTTTATGAAAGGAAGATTGGTAATAAAATGATGTAAAATTGCTCCTAAATCTTTCTTATATGCAGAAAATCTCAATAGCCTGAATAACCCTGGATAAGTCACTTTGCCTCTGAAGACCTCAGTTTCCTCTTTTAAAAAGTGAATAGATTGGACTCCAACCTTGCTTCCATCTCTGAATCCTATGGTCCTAAGATTCCATAACAAACACATAGAGTCTTGCTAACTTTGCCTTCTAGGGCTGAATGGTCTTTTATTCACAGAGCATTTTAAGTTCCTTGGGTGATAACAAATATCATCTTATTGGCTCAATTGTGCTGTTTCCAAAGGAACAAGCTGTGTTGAACTAAAAGGAAGAGAGAGCACAAACACTTAATGACTCCTTGAATGCATCAATTAAACACGGCTCTAGCTGCTTGGTCCCATTTAGTCCTGGTAGGCATGCAAGACACTATGGAGAGAGCTTTGAACTCTGGAGTCAGGAAGAAGTGGGATTCAGATCCCACCTCTGACACTTAGTAGCTGTGGGAGCATCGGTAAGTCACTTAATCTCTCTGAGCCCCAGTTTTCTTATGTCAAAAATTAGGACACATGATAGTGGCTGCTAGGTGACAAAGTGGGTAGAACACCAGGCCTGGAGTCAGAAAGACCCATCTTCATGAGTTCAAATCTGGCCTCAGACACTGACTAGCTGGGTGACCCTGGGCAAGTTACTTAACTCTGTCTCAATTTTCTCATCTGTAAAATGAGCTTGAGAAGGACACGGCGAACTACTCCAGTATCTTTGCCAAGAAAACTCCAAAGCCCTAAATTGGGTCATGAAGAATCATACATGACTGAAAAATGACTGAACAACAATAACAACAAATATATATGAATCAGATAGCACGCTATCCTTGGAGTTGGAAAGACTTGGGTTCAAATCCTGCCTTAGATACTCACTAGCTTGGCAAGTCACTTAATGAGTAGAGAAAGGTAAGATCATAGTGATACAATATTCATTATTTAATCAACATTAAGCATCTATTATGGACCAGATGCTATGAAAATAAGCAATAGTCAAGAACAAATCTACAGGATATCGATTTTTCAAATCCAGCCTTAGGCATATACTAGCAAGTCCCTTATTTCTCTAAGCCTCAGCATACTGTACTATAAAATGGGGATAACAATGGGACCTGCCTCACAGAGTGGTCATAAAGATCAAATAAGATAAAGGCAATGAGGGGGCAACTAGGTGGCACAGTGGATAGAGCACTGGCCCTGAAGTCAGGAGGACCCGGTTCAAATCTGGCCTCAGAGCAAACACTTGACACTTACTAGCTGTGTGACCCTGGGCAAGTCACTTAACCTCAGTTGGCTAAAAGAAAAATATTAAAAAAAGATAAAGGCAATAAGGCTCTATATATCAATGTGAGTGATTATTTTTTCTTTGCACTAGACCTAGAGTTTGATTAGTGTAGAGAGTTTCCAGAGAGGAAACCCTCCAGTGCAGACTGGCACTTGCACTACCTGCCCTACAACTTAAGGCCTTAGAGAGTTAGTTGACTGGGACACCAAGATCTTAAATGATTGAGCCTCAGTCTTCCTAAGTCCACCTCTCTGGTCGTGTGGCATACCACCACTAATAATATTAATTCCAATACTATTCTGTTATTATAATATTCTATCCTAATATTATCATGATAATCATTATTATTATTATTACCCACCCTACAGGTAGGTAATTGTGAGGCTCAGATGAGATATTTTGTAAAGTGCTTTGCAAATCTTAAAGCACTGTATCATTAGCTGACACTAACATATGAGGGAAAGGCTGTTTCAGGGACTGGTAGAATCCAGTGCTGAGTCACTTCAGTTCTGAGCTAGGAAGAGAGGAAGTGGGGCATGAGGGAGAGGGCCTCCTGGAGGCAGAAAGAGGGGAAGGGGCAATGTTGTGTCTAGGGACCACTGAACCCTTTCACCTCTTGTCCTGGCAGGAGCTGGAAGTGAGTTTTTGATTGATTGTCCCTCAGACCCAAGGAACAGACTCATAATAGCAGGCCTCCATCAAAAGGCCTCACCCTTCTCCACGTATCCAGGTGACCCCAGTATTACAAGTGGAAAGAGTATACAGTTGTATCAAATGGCCTGTAAGGATGGTGCTGGGCTCTGATGAGGTCTTGGCCCATCTGAATGCCCCCTGTGTTGGAGGTGGGGTGGATCTGTTTTCTCCACCCCCATTCCTATAATTTTCAGAAGCATATTACAGGTCAAAATCAGCTGATTCTAGATACAAAGCTCATTTGACCTAACCTTCTCTTTTATGGCTTGTCTATGGTGACAGCTAGAAAGGGTCCTGATAATGGGCTAAAAGGGAATTCAAAAGCCCTATATTTCAATGCATATCCTGAAGCTATATAGTGACTGTATTGGAAGTGCATGAGGTAAAAGATACACCGGAATAGATAAATACAAAATTTCATTCCTGACCCGCCTGTCATTTCAGTGATTAATTCTGTCCTAAACTTACTGTGCACGAAATACCCTCTCAAAGGCTGGTGACCCCGTGACGGCTGGGGGTGTGATCTTGTACTTCTCCCTTGCTTTTCCCACCTGCCGAGCAAAGAAAACTGCAAGGGAAAAGAAATTCAACTGTAATTTAACATGAGGTGAAAAAGCAACTAACAATTACAAACAAACATTATTTGGACATTCAGATCATAACATTTAGCTCTGGACCTGGATCCTCACTCCAATACTTAGGAGGTGTATGACCACAAGCAAGTCCCTTTTAACCTCTCTGAATCTCTCTTTTGTCATCTATAAAATGGAGATACCATTAGTCACATTACCTACATCCCAGGGATGGTGTTTTTTTTTTGGGGGGGGGGCACACCGTAGGGAAGAGAACTCTTTGCAAGCCTTAAAGCATTGTAGAAAAGCAAATTTTTAATCCTTTGCTTTCCCTCTTCTCACACCCTCTATTCAACCTAGTTTCTTTTCCTCAATTACTTGAATTCCTTCTCCCACTCACTAGTTCTTTTGAAATCATTTGTCTTTGTTATACCAAGTTTGCAGCTTTAATCTCTAACTGTGTTCCAGAATTAGTAGTGATATATTTCCTTCGGTAGCAGGATATGGTAATCTCTCCAACGACAAGAAGCTTGTAAATATTGAAGTGGATTTAGTAAGAAGTAGCCCAGCAGGCTGTCTCCTTCCCCTTAATCCCCCTCTGCTCCAAACAAGCTGTTGTGCACTGCTTAAATGTTCTCAAGTGTGTAACTGCCTAAGATTGGTTTCTTCTCATTTAAAATGGCAGTGGTTTCTAATGAACACTTGAAGAGGGAGGAGAGGGATTTTTTGAAGTGTGTGGTGCAGGAGGTAGATCATTTCCCCTGTAGCCTCTGACCCAGGGCTGACATTTTCAGAGCAAAAAGAGAGGCCGGGGGTCTATAGATTTGGTTGGTGACTGCAACGTGGAACTCTCTCAGAGATAAAATTAGGGATGGACCATTCTGGACCCTCTTCTTGCCATGGCCTCTAGCTTCCTGTGAGACTCTGGGCTGGTCACTCTTAGTAAGGCATATTTTCTGCATTTGTAAAATAGGAACAGTGCTGGAATTTATCTCAGGAAAACAATCTAGCATTTGAGCAAAAGGCCCAGAACTCCCAAAGTTCATACATAGGCAAGAAAGAGTTTGGAGAAGAATTGCCTTTCCTTAGGCTGTAGCTTATAATAAATGTGTCATCTTGGGATGATAGTGGAGACACATTGTGGCACTATGGGTAGAGGATGCACCACTGAATCAAGAAGACCTCTAAGTGTACATAGATCACGGGTCCTCTGTGCTAGCACATGTGCCCCATGTTTGATGCACACCTATGGGAAGGGTTCAAGTCATACCTCTAAAACATAATGGCTTTGTGACCCTGAACAAAACATTTCACCTTCCAATGTTCCAGATAACTTGTTGACTTTTCAGACAAGTTGTTGACTTGTATGTTAGAAATAGGCTTGACACCAAAAATTTAGTATCAAGAAAATTTATTACAGAGAAAGTCCAGAGGATTTAGATATTTCTGGCCAGAAGCAGGCTTCCCCCCTCTTCAGGAGGGGTTGGCCCTGAGTGCAAGGGCAAGTGTGCTTTTATGCAGTTGAATTCGGGTGCGAAAACTCCCAGGCCTGGATTGGTCCATCCCTCCCCAGGTTACACCTTTCCTTACATGTTTCCCCTTGGTCATATGTCCCATGACTCGTTAATGAGGCTCTAATTTTATGTGGGGTGTGTCAGATAATAGCAATGAAGTTCATTAAGCACGCACACTAACATTTTTCAGATGTCCTCAGGTTGACCCTAAATGGTCTGAGCTGGCTCGATCCTTATCTTGATTTTGGGGTCTTTATGGAACCATCAACTTACTTTTTATTGGCTAAGCCTGAGCCCACCTACAATGTACTACTTCCTGGAGCTGTTGTTCTTTAAATCTCTGCATTATCCTACCTGTGGAAACGTAAGCCCTTCTAACTCTAACATGTATCAGTGAAGGATATTTTCACACTAAGTTCCACACTGATAAAAGCACATATCTGGAACCATCACAATCCCATTCAACTTGTCTTCACCTCTCTGCCCCCCCACCAGTTTCTCCCCCAGAAATGATGGTAGAAAAAAATAAAAGAGAGCTTTAGAAAATATTGTAGGCATGACTTGTTGAACTTGTCAGATTGTGGAATCATAGAAGTGAAAGGTCATCTGGTCTAACTTAAAGGTCATCCTATGTTAGAATCTTCTCTACAATATCACTTCCAGCTTCTGCTTAAACACTTCCACAGATGAGGAACTCACTATTATACAAGATAGCTTATTACATTATTTAGATAGCTCTAATGTTTAGAAAATTCTTCCTTATTTTGACCTGAAATTTGTCTCCATTCAGTAGCCCCTAGCCCCCATTTCCCTGCCTCCCTCTTCTCCAAGCTAAATAACTCCTTATGACATGTTTTCTAGACCATTCACCAGTCTGGTCACCTTCTGTCATAAAAAGAGGTACCCAGAACTACACATATGGTGTGACTGGTACAGTGGAACTCTCACCTCTCTTGTTCTGTCCATTATATCTCTTCATGTCAGCTAAGTTTATATTAACTCTTTCAGCAATTACGCCACACTGTTGACTCATATTTAGCTTGAAGTCCTCTCAAATCCCAGGTCTCCCGTCTGAATTGCTTTTGAACCACTTCTCCATTCTGTACTTGTATAGTAGTTGGGATGTTCATTGTATTGTTTCTTTACTCAAGAGCAGGATTTTGCACTTCATCCCCATTGCTTTTACCTTCTTTGTTCCAGCCCCCTTCCTGCCAACTGAGCTCTCTTTGTATTCTGATTCTATCATCTAACATATTAACTATCCCTCTCAGCTTTGTGGCATCCCCAAATCTGATAAGCCTGCTTCACCAGTCTGATGCTGGATTTCAAGGGACAGAGACAGAGCTTGGCATCAGTTGGTCACGCTCAGTTTTTCTTCCTAATTTGTATTCACATCTTCTGTTTTTCCATCACCCACATTTCCCACTGCCAACCTGGATCCCAGTCATCTTCCTCCAAGCCTCTGTCTATATCCCAGGACCTTCTCTAGCCACCCTCCCCCTACTTCTTCAGACAGCCCACTTCCCACTGCTGCCTCTAGCTTCCTGAGCAAACTCCCCTAGGCTGTAAATCAGTCCACTTCTCTATTTTGTGAAATGGCTTTCCCAAGGTTCCCCAGAACAAACATCAACATCTGCCAGGAGTTTGGAGCTCCAGGGAGGACTTGAACATTCAAATCCCCTGTCTCCCTCGAGAAGCCTCTGTCTAACCACAGATATTTTGCCTAGACTCATTCTGCATTGATTAGCACACTCCCATCCCTCTTAATCTCCCCTGAACCCCTCTGCTGCCAATATACAAACCCATCTCCAACTGGCTGCTCCCTTATCCCCATCCTCCTCAACTGTATCCTCTAGTATCCTATTTCAGATCTTCTCACCTCTTCTAGTGTGCTCTCTGGAATGCCTTCTCCATAATTAACAAACTTCATTTCTTATTAAACATTTTCCTTTCTTACCCATTTCACCTTCTGCTACTCACAGAGCCATGGCTCCCTCCTTATGATACTGGCCATCCCTTCTAGTACTGGTTGTACTTTCACTCCAAACCCCTTCCTCCAATTCATAGTGGTGAGTGGAGTCTGCATAATTCTCTATAAGGCCACATGTGGCCTCAAGGCTGCAGTTCCCCACCCCTGGTCTGCTCTCTTCATCCCTTGCCAATTTTCTTATACTTTCCTCCCCTCCTCATACTCTGCAGTAAAGCTTGTGCTGAGCTACTTGCTGCTCCTCACCCAGTACACTTCCTTTCCTGACTCCATGCACTTGCACTGACGGTCTCCCATTTCTAGAATGTTCTCCCTCCTCCCCTCTGCCTCCTGACTTCCCTGGCTCCCTTCCAAGACTCAGCTCCTCTCTTACTTTCAGCAGGAAGCATACCTTCCCTTTGAGACTGAATTTGATTTACAGAGCATAGGTATCTTCTGTTTACCTAATTATTTGCATATTGTTTTCCCCATTAGAATGTGAGTTCTTTGAGGTCAGGGGCCATGTTTTTGCCTTTCTTTGTATCCCAGAATTTAGCACAGTGTCTGGAACAGAGTTAGCACTTAATAAATGCTTGTTCACTTTCCAATTAACTGATCCCCAGTGAAAGTCATCTCTTATAATAGTTTTTTAAAGTAGAAGAAAAAAAAACTCAGCAAAACTAACCAACATTTGGGGGGGGGGAAAGCCTGATAGTGTATAATGTAATCTGAAGGGAAAAAGCCATTGAGGATGTATGTACCCTGACCATCTTACCACAAATCTGCACCTCAACATTGGTTTTGGTTCTGAAAATTGGAAACAACCAGATTCTCCCAAGCAACCAGCCCTGCCCAGAACATTTTAGATCAATTTTATATAGGCCAGGAATTGAATCTATCTAGCTAACATCACTCCTATACTGGCAGTGAAGTAGAGAGAACTGAAACCACAGAATCATAAATTCTGGTGTCTCTTCTGAGTGCTGGCAACTAACATATGTTGATTGTCCCCATTAGAAAGTAAGCTCCTTGAGGGCAGGAACTGTTCTCATTTCTATCTTTGTATCCTAGACACCTGGCGCAATGCTTGACACCTCAAAGGTAGCCATTAAATGATCATATAATTTTTAAAAGGGTAATGGCATAACATGCATATTACAATTAGACAAAGGGAGCTAGAGCCCTTTGCAAATACACCAATCCAAGACCCCTTCAGCCACCTTCAAATATACAAATCTGGGTAGACCAGGTAAAGCTAAAACATAGGTATTGTTAAAATTCCTTTGGTGTTATCAGGAGCAGCCCTTAATGAACTCATCAGTTGTTCTACATATTTCTATTTATAATGTATGTATAGTACTTTGCAAAATCTTAAGAAGCCGTAAAAGTGTGATTTTCTCTTCCTGAATCCTCTATCCTTCTAGCTCTTGCCCTATATCTCTTCTCCTTTTCTCAGCTAGAACTCCTTTTTTTAAAAAAAAGCCATTTCCTTGAGATATCATCACTTCCTCTCCTC